CTTAAAGTTTCAAAACATTAATTTAATTTAATTACAATCTATGATATTTACTTGGTTATAAGTAATATTTCCTAGATTATACTATAATTTTCTAAGACAAAATAATATTGTAATTACTACGTTTAAAATGAAACCATTGAATTTGAAGGGTTTTTTTTTGTACGTAATTTTATTACTAAGAAATTTAAACAAACGGTTAATCGATTTCAAAATACTATAAATGGCTTGTGCAGTGAATATTGTAGTTACCTAATAATGCATGTTTTTATAATTTTTACATTCTATGATTCCGTAATGAGCACATGCAAGTATTCGTAATGAAGAGATTTTGAACAAATGCCAAACAGAGATTTTTAACGATAAATTGTCTTATGACTTTCCGAAATAAGTATTTTCAGATTTTTTTTTAAAACAACGTTCTTTTGAGAATTAATCATGAAACGAGTACGAAGCTGCGCACGGGGTCCTGGGGGAGAGATTAGAACTGTTTCGTGTACGAAAAACAATTTTTAGACAGCTCCGGGAGATTGTTTATATATATAGATGTGATGACTCTTCGATACATGTCCTATATAAATATGTCTACGGCGGCGATACGCGCCAAGTACGCGTGGAGGGATGTTTTTTTTTCCGTTGTGAGTTTCACTCTTTTGACTCTGCATCGTCGTTATAATTTAGGCGACAAACGGCTCCAACCATGTTTCAGTTATATAATATATAAATATACCTTCACAATAATACGTATAATTATCACAGTTATTCTTTCGAAAGCTGTTGTTGAAAATTTACGGCCACGCGAGTATAGTTATGCATATACATGCACATCGTTATAATGATTCTCGTTTTTATTTAGAACAGAATACATATGGATATATTTATATGCATATATACAGGGAAGTGGGAAATTATTTGTCTGTCTTGTTATACCGGAAACAAAATCATCGTTACTCTCGCTGCCTTCTCGCGGAGAAGACGAAAAACCACTCCAGCTGTAGCCCACCCATGTACTACAATTACTGTGATTGTTGTTATTTTAATTTGTTACAATTATCATTGTCGCCGCGGGCTCATCCGGACTTCATTATTGT